GGGTAGAACCTGAGGAGGACCTCGTGCACAAACTCTGACCTGTGGCTGTGATTTATAAAGGAAAGATGCTCAGAAATGTGCGTACGGTTTTATAAAGCTGAATATCTTTTGGCGTACGCCATTTCCGCCTTTTGGCCGTACGTTCACTTTTAGTATGGTTTCCACGCAATCCTTTATAAATGAGACCCCTGATCTGGACCAGGGTGGAAGTAGATTCAAACTTCATCATGAAAGTACAAGAACACAGCAGATTTCAACAAGTCATTTTTACTAAAAGCTGTGTGTGACATTGAAGTYTCACACAGTACTTGAACATGTGTGTTCATCAGTTGGTGAGGTGGAGATTAGACATTTACAGCCTTTCCCTCCTCACTACTCCCTACACTCACTGAAGCACCCTCCCAGCTGAACTGAGCCCTTGATGGTGTTGTAAGGTATAAACGCACAAACGGAGTGAGGAGTGAGCAGGGCGAGTGAGGAGCCACTGACTGGGAAAGGCTCTCAGTAGACTGATTTTATTCACATTGTCCACATTTCAGCACCTTCTTGTCTCAACCCACTGGCTGAACATGTTAGCCCCTCCACATGAGAACTTCAGTGGGAGTGTTGGTTTCTGCTGAAAGCACTTGGACGCTGCATTTTGCTTCAACTACTGGCTTCAAAATAAACTACTTGCTCCAGAAGCCGACTGTTGTAGTGTACCAGGAAGCAGACATTTATAGTCAAATGGCCAAAAACTCATGGATGGAGATAAAACAGACGTTGGGCACAGAGGAAGCTGATAAAAACTGTGGAGCTTTAACCAGGACAGATTTGTGCACAAATTACACCGGGTGACGGATCTGATCTTTTCCCACACTGTAGACTCCAGCAGGAAGAAACCCCATGCAGTGACGTGTACCACAGTGGGAGGGGTTTCCCAGGAGCTCAGCACGGTGTGTCTCAGGGTGTGTAAAAATGAACATGTGAGCATGTGTCATCCAGTCAGCTGCAGAGCAACCATACTGAAGTCTGAAAGCTCCTGGTCCAGCAGCCTGTAAAATCTCCTTCAACTGCCAGCAGRAGTTTTCTGTCAGACCTTCAGCCTTTCACATGGCTACGTACACATTTTGGTCCACTCTTCTTTACAATGGCTCAGTGTTTAGCACTGACACCTCACAGCAAGAAGGTCCAGGGTTCCATCCTGAACCTGGAAGTAAATTCTTGTTTGGTCAGTCACTGAGAGGGTGGTCGTAGTTCAGAGGTCACCTTTATGTTTTTGTTAAATAAATAATGACATGATGGAGTATGATGGGTCTTTTGTTCAAATGAAGTTAGATAATAAAAAATGTACAAATTATTTCATTTTTCTTTCAATAAAAGAATGCTAGTGTGGAAAAGTTTCCATTTATGTGAAAAACTTTTGTAGCATTTTCCTCCTTTAATTAATAATTTCAGATTAGATATAACAGGTCTTATTTTCTGCTTAAAGGAAGAAATCAAAATCCACTCGCTTCAGACTTTTTGTTAAGAATGTTGAATGGAACTTCCCCTTTGTGCCTTGAATTAGCATATCTTACACCAACTCAACCGACATCACGACGCCTCAGAGAACAAACTGAAAGAATTGACATTGCCACAAGTCTCTGATGTTTCCACCCCCCCATCAGGACTCCCTGTCTGTTTTCCTTCAAAGAGGGGGTAGGGTCATAAAAGGCCTTTAACTAGACTCTTCCAGTGACTTGAACAAAGGAAATCACATGCTTGTTTAAATGAAAGTAAAAAGAAAAAAAGAAGAAACCAAACTGAATGTTTTTATACAATTGTCTGTTTTTATATCAAAGAAATGTGAATTTATCTTCTCTTTCACAGAAGGAACCAAACCCATTGTTCTAACTGTGTGTTTTTATTTGATGAAGTGTTTCCTTAAAGAAGAAGATGTTTCTTTTATTTCATGATTTTAAACTGTGTTTTTATTACATGAGTTAACCTTAGAAAACTTTAGGCTTTGAATTTTAACTAAATGTGACATTCTTAGTTTACTGAGGTAAAATAGATGTTTTACCCTTTAATTAGATGCAAGATAATTAAACTAAAACACTCCCTTTTCTTTGTCTTGAAG